GGATCAGTTTGTCTCTTTTTTTGTCAGCTTCTTGTTTTTCTATAATGGTGTCTTCTAAATCACTTATTCTCCTTTCTGCCTCTTCAATCCGTGCATTGGAGGCCTCTAATTTATTATGTATCTCATTTATCGCATTTTTTAATTCTTCATGCCCATTTTTATTTTCCATTCTTTCTGTAGCCATAGTTTCTTTGATGTCCCCTATGTTTTTTTCAAGCCCAGCTATTAATTTTACCGTTATTATTCTAAAATCTTGTTCAGTTATGCTCCTTATATCTGTTTTGAGCAGTTCATTAGCTGTCATTTCTTCTTGGAGTTTCTGTGGAGGAGAGCTCTTTTGTTTCATCATTTTAGTTAGCTTTCCAGCTCTTGTTGGTTTTATTTTTTTTTTTTTAATGTTTTATTTATTTCTAGGAGAGAGAGAGACAGCATGAGCAGGGGAGGGTCAGAGAGAGAGGGAGTCACGGACCGAAACAGTCTCTAGGCTCTGAGCTGGCAGTCAGCACAGAGCCCGACTGGGGCTCGAACCCATGAACCGCGAGATCGTGACTTAAGTGAAAGTCCGATGCTTAACCGACTAAGCTACCCAGGCAACCCTCTTGTTGTTTTTAAAGACCTGTTATACTCTCTGTATTATGAGCGCTGCTGTATCCAAGAAGACTCTTTGACTGTCCAGGACCTATCCTTTCAGAGAGTGTTTTTTGAATGGTATCTCTTTGTCTCTCTTGTTGGGATCTTGGTTATTTTATTTTCCTACTCGTAGTGCTATTTGGGATTCTCCACCTTGTGTACTCTGGCTTGTTTCTTGAGGTAGCCGTTAGAAGGTTTTCTCAGTGGATTCTGCATCCTTTTTCTCCCCATCTCTCAGGTCTTGTAAGGTTTCCAATGGCTTCAGATCTTTTCCGTGAGATGTATGGGTGCGAGTGCAAGTACGGAGCTCCTTATTTCTCCGCCATCTTGCCCCTCCCCCGACCATATTTTTCTTATAGTTCTACGGCTTGGTCTTCTGAAATCTCCTGGCAATCCTTAAATCCATTCAAATTTACAGCAAGAGAGTAGAAAAAAGTCATGGGCTAACAAAGAAACAAAAAGTCTGACAGCAATAACAAGTGCCAGGTCATAAGAGAAAATGGCATGGGAACAATTAGAACAACACAGATTTCTGGCAGAATTTTTGGTAAAAAAGCAAGCCATGCTTTATACATAGTATTAAGTCAAGGAAGGGGGAGGGGTAAAAAGAAATGGTTCCATACTGTAGTCCACCAGTGTTGTAAAATGATTGTCTTAAGTGATTAAGAAAAGGCTCAATCCATTTAATATGTTGTCTTTATTAAGCAAGGAAGGATACAATAAGCTTTATGAGGGCACACATACACACACATAATATTCTTACCTATTACCTAAATTCTGCATAATGTGATTATATCTTTTTTAAATGTACATTTAAGTTGATTTTAATATTTTGTATAGTTTTTAACTTTTAATTTTGAAATAACATCAGATTAATCAAATTTACAAAGCCGCCATAAATTTTAACATCTTACATAACCATAGTACAATAATACTAATTAGGAAATTAAATCAATATAATACTAATAACCCATCAAGAATTTCACTCAAATATTTCCAAATTGAATTTAAATTTGGATTTGAATTAGTGGAATTCCACAGATGCCCTTTTTACTGATTCATACATAAATCTGAAATCACTCATTGTGTTTAGTTGTCATGTATTAATTTGGTTTCTAAATTAATTTATGTGATTATATCACAATATTATCTGAGTAACTTCTGAACTAGTTAGAGTGTTCTTTTTCCTTCTGTGTATCATGCTGATATTTAATTGTGGTGTATAACAAATGACCCTTTTAAGCATTAATATTCACTTATTTTTCTTGAAATATGTCTGTTAAATTACTCTTTAGTAATTACCAAACATTTACTTAAATAGTTAAGTTACTAAATTGCTATTGGCAATTAGTACTTTTTTGCTAGTTTATCATATTTCTATCAACTTGCTTTTACCTGAACTCTGTAGTAGAATCCTCCAGTTCTGAATTTCAGTGACAGAACAATCCTATCCCATCCCTTGTTATTCTCTCAGCATGCTCTAAAGTAGACACATAATTGAAATGAAAAGCAACTCTTGGCTGCGAAGTATTCTGATATGTCAAGGAGCAGACTACTAGTCATATCTTAATCTTGTTAGTAAATACATGGAAATTACTTAGCTTTCCTGTACCGCAGTTTCTTCAGCTGGAAAAATGGGAAATTTTTCTCCCTTAATTTCAATGCTGATATGAAAATGTATATGAAAGAACTGTATTTGAAACTGACAAAAAGCAGATCATTACAAAAAACATTTTCAATGATTACAGGATTGTTCTTACCTAAAGAAAAAATAAGTCTTCTCCATCCTTATCCTATCCAACTTTTCTCATAATAGAAATAAGTCAAAATATGGCTTCAGAATCCCAATTGGTGACTTGGAACTTATTCTTTTATAGCAATACTGCAACAACTGATATGGCAGTAGATTATCAAGATTATCTAACCCACATAAACTTCTAATGGAAAAGAATTGCCCACCTACACTGGACAGTGAATTTCCCTAATGCTGCATTTTTTGTATGTGCTTAAAGTGGGGGCATAGCAATACTCTTGAAGGACAGGAAATTACTATTTGATGATAATTCTGTCACTTTATATAATAATAAATTCAACATTTTTTATTGAGGGCCAGATACTTCTAAATGTTGTGAGGGTTACTATTATGAGTGAAGAAAGATATATTGATGTAAAACTTATAATAGAAAAATGTAAAATGGGATGAATTATTAATTCTGCTTGAGGGTATTTAAGAAGATTTTGCATTTGAGGCAATAAGAGATCTAAGTCTTGAAGATTGAGTTGGATTTTAAAAGAACAATGAACAGAGGATTTCTACTTATATATAACAGAAGTATATAGACCTACATAGAATATAGATTATATATTCTAGTTGCATATATATTGTTACTGAAACTGTAACAATACTGTAATATTATATATACTATTTCTTCTAGTTATGTAGGTATGCATATGTGTGTATACATATATATGTATATATATGTATATATGTGAAATAAATAGCATGTTTGTGAAATCATTAGAGATTCAGTGGGCTTGGAAATTCAGCAGACTTATAGAGAAAACTTGTGGGAGACAGACTGGAAAAGTGGACTGAAGGAGAAGAGTTTGTAGAAGTATTCATCTGAGTGCCATATTTATTTTGGACCTTATTTTATGAGAACTATCATCACTTCTTGATTATGAGAGCAAGATTTTTGTGTGCAAAGTCATTTTATTTTTGGAATACAGTCAATGCCTGACTGAGTGAGGCCAGGGAGAGGTACAATCATCTGCGAGCAGATAGAGACTGAGCTGATGGCCCCTGGTTAGTAAGGTAAGGTGAAGATATGATTAAAATTGTTACAGGAAACGATCAGTAGAATTTGTTGGCATATTGTACATAAGATAAAAGAGAAAAAATAATCAAAGATGACTCTGATGCCTGATATATTAGATAACTGAGGTAAATGGCAGTATCATTTAGTGGTATGCAAAATCCAGAGGGAGAAACACATTGTCAAGAATTGTTGTGTTGTGTTCAGGTATATATATCTAGCATGGAGTTTGACGTTTAAAAGTGAAATTGTTCTGGGTATTGGGAAAAGTCTATGTTGTGTCTCTGTGATTGAGTTTCTGGAGAATGGTAGTGATACAGTTTTGAGAAGAAAAGTTCAGAGTGTCAAATGGGTCATAAATATAGAGTTCATGAATTTATTTATAAGGTGATAGCAGGAGATAGGCTGGAAACTTTCACCTAGGCAATGATTTTTGAAATTTCTACCTGACTCATATCCTCTAAGTTCCTATTTCTCAAAGCATGGCCAGTAGGACAGAAAGTACCAGTGATTTGAAACTTATTCAAGATACAACATAGTAGACCCCGCCCATTACTAATAAAATCAGAAATGCTGGGCATTTGGAGGCCAGAATCTGTTTTAATAATCCCACAACGTGATTCTGATTCACACTAAAGGATTTCAACTTTGATTGCACAATGGGACCATCTGGGGATCTATAAAATGTTCTGATGCCTTGGACCACCTTTAGTGATTCTGATATAGCCAGGTGTAAGCCGTGGGCCAAGGGCTGGGGATTTTGAAAGTCTCTCAGGTGATTCTAATGTTCAGCTTGAGCTAAAAACTATTTTTCTAGAGTAACAATAAATAAATACCAAGAGAAATGTTTCTCACACTTTAAAAGTGCAAACCAATCATCTTCAAAATGCAGATTCTAATACAGTGGGTCTGAGTGCCACCTGTGAGTACATTTCTAGTCAGCTTTTCTGTGAGCTTGAACACAGACCACAGTTCAAAGAGCAAAGCTCTAGAGCACAGTCATCAGTCATGTATGATACGTCTTCCACAGATATGATAAAACAAGGGATTATTAGCTGGAGATGATTTCTCTGGCATCAAATTGGTTGCTCAAGAAAAGAGATCAAAGGCAAGAGTAGGAACCAATCAATTTATAAAAATATTTAATTTTGAAATTATTTTTAGATCAAGTTGCCCAAAAACACAAGTGCTTCTTTTAAAGACTAATCCTTTAAATTAAAATACTGGACAAAGCTAACCTGAAGGAGTCAAAGTTAAATTTTTGCATGTAGGCTTCAAGAGAATCATTGGATTATCTTATTTCTATTTATTTACTTACTTATTTATTTATTTATTTATTTATTTTAGTTTAGCGAGAAAGAGAGCATGTGTGGGGGGATGGGAGAGGAAGAGGAAGATAGGGAATCTCAAGCAGGCTCCACACCCAGGGCCGGGCTCCATCTCACAACCATGAGATCATTACCTGAGCCGAAATCAGGAATCGGACACTTCACAGACTGTGCCACCTCAGTGCCCCTGGATTATCTTATTTCTGTCATGTTTTTCTGGAAAGGAAAAGGGTGTAAGTTTCTATTAACTATTATTCTGGAATAAAAGCCCTACATGGGCTCATAGCAATCCACTCACATGTCAATGGGAAAGTAATTTCCATTAGTGTGTCCTCACTATTAGTAAAAGTCAACCTCTAAGTTTGAAATTTTAGAACCATGGGGGAAAGGATCCCAAAAGGGAATTACGTAGTCTTCCTTTTGTTGTTTTTGCCATTTTTAAAAGAAATATGCCTTTATGGATTTAAAGAACATTCAGTTTAATATGTGGTTGAGGAAACGAATTAGCTGCCCCCTTTTACTAATGACAGTAGTCAAATCATTACTTGTCTAACTGGGCTCAGCAATGTCCTGATTAGCAAAGGGTCAGTCTGAGCCTGAGGTGACAGCTTACCCTTGGCTCTTGAATTCTAGCTGCTTCCTCATTAATCAAAAGTAAAAATAATCACATATGTTAGAATGATTAAATAAGACCTCTGCTTTCCATAGAATATTTAGGCTTCGGGTATTAGAAGAAATGATTCTAAGAAATTGGAAGAAGCATTTTTTTCTTGTAAATTGCATTCTAGAGTTTTTCACTGATTTAGTGAATGAATAAACTGATCTTGGGTGGGAAAAATAGGAGAGATTTATTAATAGCAGTTAGTCAATATTAAAGGGAAATGGGTCAGAATGGAGTCAGATACCATACATTCCTACTATGAGTTAACCCCCATATTCCATTTTTCCAAGGAGAAGTTTCAAAAAGATTTTTAAAATTATGTATATAGAATGATTAAATACCAACTTTTAATATTTAGTTTGTTAAATAAGTTATGAAATATATTCAAAATCACATTATATAATTATCTTTTAATATAGAAATAAACTTTTTCACATTTCTTGAAAATATTTTAGTCAAGCTTTCCATATGCGTCTTCTGAAAGTCTCATCATCATTAGAGTTCTTGTTGAATCCTCTAATGCATTTGTTGAGAGCACATTATTTTATTGGTCCACATTTTTTTAGATAAGATATCTTTTGGAACTGTATATGATGTTCTCACTGGAAAACTTATCCTCAAAGTATGCAATCACAAAATACGAGTACATTTGGTTTTTATATTGTCCTATGTGTATATGCATTCATGATTTCTCCAACACAACCACTTCCTGCTTTGCTTTTTAAGTAAATTTTACAAGGTTTATTTACAATCAAATCCTTGCAATTGTGAAGTCATACACATAGAGTAATGAAGAAATCTGTATCAAAGTTTTTTCTTGCTTTCTCACCAATTAATTAATCACTTCATACTAGTGCTGACTTATGTGGTTTCAGACTAATGTGCCTTTTTTCCTAAATAGTACTTGATCAATCAGAATTTAGGGAACTGAGATAGGACCAGCAATAAGTAGACTTTGTGAGACTTGGATATAAAGTGACTATACTCTGTTATCTGAGGGTTAATATTTTAGGAGGAAAAAACCCTCTGTCTTATATTTGAACATACCCAGAAACAATGATATTTAGTTCATAGTAATTTTTTGAAAGTGAATTTGTACTAATTATCATTACTTCTGAATCCCACATTCAATTTTATTTTTATTTGTATCTTAAACTGATTATAATTAATAAAATATTATAACAGACAATTTAGTAAATTCTCCAGAGGTGTTTATATATTATATAAAACGTGAAATACACACTATACACTTTCTTTTACAAGGTGGAGGTCTCTGTGGGACATATTTCTCCTTTTCCTAAAAGATCATTTGGCTGGGAGAAACAAATTACTTGCGTTGGTATTTGGAAGCAAAATTCATTCAGTACTATTTTAATCTTAGGGATTTTCCCTTTAAATTTAGTGACTTCTAAATTTGACCCCACTTAAAAAAGTTGTGCTTATCTGTACATTAGCCACCTTTTGTGAATGGCAGCAATGAAATTGCAGCCACTTTCCACAATGCACTTTTTTTTTATTGTTGTGGGATTAATTTGAAGGTTGTTCTCTGCTGGACTCTGCTGGGTTCAGCCCAGGTCCACGAGTCCTGTCACTCCTGGATCATTTCTGAATGAGGAGCCACTATCTGTGACATGATGTTCTCATGGCAAAGAACAGCTTCTCAGGTGGGAGAGAGCCAATCCAGGCAAAGAATTCAAAACTTCTACTTGGGAGTGCCTGGGTGGCTGTGGGTCAGTTGGTTGAGCTCAGACTCTTGATCTCAGCTATGGTCTTGATCTCAGGATCCTGAGTTCAAGCCCTGTGTTGGGCTCTGTACTGGACATTAAGCCTACTTAAAACAAAACAAATGAACAAAGAAAAACAGTAAAAAAATAAAATAAAACTTCTACTTGAACGAATGTATATCACATCCCCTCACACTCCATTGACCAAAGCAAGTCATACTACTAAGCCAATGTCAGTATGGCAAGAGGGTGTACTCCCTGCCAATGGGGAAGCATGAGAAAGGTGAGGAGGAGACAAATAGTTGTGAGCAAATAATACAATCTATGACTGATAATCACTTTGGTGACTGTCTTGTAATTTGTAATGCTTGCTTAATCATCATTAGAACTAGGATCAATGTCAGCAAGTGCGAAGGGCACATACTGCTTTTAGTTACCTACAATGGCCATGAAATTAGATGAAGATCAATCATGTGAAAGTTGAGGGAAGCTATTCAATATGTTTTCTAATGTACTTTTAGTTTCTAATGATGCTAATAATAAGTTCCATAATGCTTTTTAAACTTCTCAGAATAATTTTTATTTTAAATCCTATTTGGGAAAATTTGCCTCTCTGTACCATTCCTGTCAGGGCAGCATCCAAGTCTGATTCTGTTCCAGCTCTTCCAGAGATTCTAGGAGATATTTAATTTCCTTTAGTATTTCTGCTAAACTAGCTAGACTAAACTCTTTTCTATATATATCTTATGGAGTGGATATGTATCCTCAAGAAGTTAATATAGAAGAAGGTACCTAGCATATGGTTTGCATTTTAAAAAGTCACATCCCTTCTCAGTCCTATTTCATTTTGAAAATGTTGAAATATTTGTTTATTTAAGAAATACTCTATTGTTGATTTTTTTTTTTGTCATGATACTGTCGATTCTTAAGAAATGCTTACCCTAATTTTTCATATTTGTCTCTGAAAGCCTGGGGGTGGTAATGGACATAAGACAAAAAGCAATTTTTCTGGCATTTTCTGAAGATGCTTCTAAACCAATCATATGTCCCAGACTATCAGAAGCAATTCCAATTTAAAATAAGCTGTTTCACTGTCCGCATAAGTTTGCTTTTATTTTTTTAGGTTTTCCCCATAAGTATGCTTTTAGGTATGACATCCACGTTTCATGTTTTGGTTCACAAAAACACGTTATCCTTGGAACGTTTGGTTGGTGAACATGTGGAGATTCAGGAAGTGTCATATGAGGAAGGGGTATGGAAGCGCTGAAACTTTTCCCTTTACAATGCCCTATGTATCTCTTTCACGTGGCTGTTCTGGAGTTATATCCTTTTATGATAAACTGGTAATCCAGCTTTAGGTCCTGTTGCCAGGCAATGTGTCTTTTTACACAAGTCAACAGAAGAATTATAAGGGAATTCAGAAAGCACAGTTCACAACGATTAAAAATTTGTCACCAACACAGACTTTGAAAAAATTAGGGCTCATACATCTCGTTGGATCACCCTTTCATGAAGCATATATGCATGGATTTTTCATGGATGTAAGACTCTGTCTCAGGTAAAATTGATGGGAAAGCCATTTGCTTATGAAGAATATAGGAAAGATAAGATCTGACGGAAGACAGACCATGTAAACAGAGTCCAATTAAAGAAATGGCCAAAAGTTAACAAAGAGCTCACACTTGACTGAGAGGGGAGGAAGAGAAGCAAAATCTACATGAGAAAAGAAAAGCAAGAGCCTTTCTAATATTCTCGTCAATGATTGGCTTAAAGTTCTTTGAGAACATTGACTTCAAAGTAGACAAAAAGAGTAAATTGAAGCTTTTGAAACCAGTTGTTTAAAAAATTAGTAAAGGGGGTACCTGGGTGGCTCAGTCGGTTGGGCAGCCGACTTCAGCTCAGGTCATGATCTCATGGCCCCTAGGTTCGAGCCCCATGTTGGGCTCTGTGCTGACAGCTAGCTCAGAGCCTGGAGCCTGTTTCGGATTCTGTGTCTTCCTCTCTCCCTCTCTGACGCTCCTCTTCTCACACACACACACTCTTTCTCTCTCAGAAGTAAATAAAATGTTTTTAAAAATTAAATAAAAAATTAGTGGAGAAGGAAGAAGACTCTTGGAGCAATATATGTATTTTATGAAAAAGAAGAGGTGGGAGAACTGAAAGGAAAACTGAATGATGCAGAAAGTTCTAAGAATTCAGGTGACAAAAAGACTGGGTTGAAGAGGTCAGAAAACAACACAGGAGGAGCCACCAGGAGGAGAAAGCAGCAGGGACTCACGGAGAACCAGCAGACAGTCCTCAAGCCCATGTTTTATGATGTCAAAACAGGAGAACTCAGAAGCTTCAAAGATTCTGTCACAAAGCAGAAGCTGATGAATAAAAACCCTTGAAGATCATTTGAAACTTGAGGCAAAAAAAAAAAAAAAAAAGGACATTTAGTGTATCCGAAATCTGAAGCCAGGGCTGGCCGCAAACAATTGACATTCATGTTAAAATGTTCTGAACAGCTGAATCAACAGGAGGCTGAGAAGCCGCACCACGCGAGACGGAAACATTTTGTCATTCAGCAGTCACCTGAAGTCAAGACACAGGAGAGGACTGCTGTTTCACTGAATTTGGAAACAATCCTAATTCTGATTTGGAAGAAGCACTTGTACTCCAAACTGGTCAGCATTAGAGTACCTTAAGCACAGACAGGGGAATGCACATTTTAAAAGTTTTATGTAGGGGCACCTGGGGGGCTCAGTCGGTTAAGCGTCCTACTTCGGCTCAGGTAATGATCTTACAGTTTGTGAGTTCAAGCCCCGCATCGGGCTTTGTGCTGACAACTAGGAGCATGGAGCCTGCTTCAGATTCTGTGTCTCCCTCTCTCTCTGCCCCTCCCCTGCTTGTGATCTGTCTCTTTCTCTCTCTCAAAAATAAATAAACATTAAAAAAAGTTTTATGTAATTTTTTTTAAGAGAGAGGGCACAAGTCAGCGAGGGGCAAAAAAGAGAGAGAGAGAGAGAGAGAGAGAGAGAGAGTGAGAAAAGCTGGGTTTACCTGGGGCTCATGTGTTTTCCTGAAGGAGGTCTGGAGCTTACCCAAAGCGGGGCACTGGCTCACCTGATATAGGACTCTAACTCAACAATTGTGAAATCATAACCTGAGCCTAAGTCAGATGCTTAATGACTAAGCCACCCAGCCACCCTATGTAAATTCTTGATACATCCACACAGGTAAAGGTTTGATAACTTGTCCCTTTAGGAGTAGGACTTTGAAACTGGGCCCGCAGCAACTGGTCAGTACATGGCCCCAGGGTGCTTTCCAAACATTGTGACTTCTCATAAACCTTGTCCTTTCCCCCTGATTTTAATCAGGTAAACCAGATTGTTGCCTTTTAATATTGTGAAATGTGTACCATAAAACAAAAGGTTATGCTAAAAATGAAGATTGATCTTAACCTGGGAACTTTTGTTTTCTTATAATACCTGCTGCCATGTATGATTAAACCATTCAGAAATACCATTCCTGTCTTATATAATGTGTATGTATTGCCATGTTTGTATTTATAAATATATGTTGATAGGTTTGTTACTTGTGTGTGCTTGGGATTTAAAAAAAAAAAAAAATATATATATATATATATATATATATATATTATACCAAGAGAATATAATTTAATGGCAATAACTGGAAGCAAGAAGTGCTTTGTGTTAACACAAAAAGTGAATTGTGTTAATTCAATGACTAGGTATTCTTTAACTTTTCAAAAAATTAAATACAGATTTTTATCTGTTTCTTAAGTTTAATTAAAGACAGCTGGCTGGAGAAGACATTACAAAAACCCTTCATTTGAACAACAATAATACACTATCCTTAAGTATCACTGCTTCAGTTGATTTAATTTCAAAATCTGTCACCCGGTCAATTATATGGATAGATTTGGCACTTGGCTTATTTCGTTGACTTTATTTATATCATTCCTGAAGGTGAATGTTGAAGAGGGCCATGGACACAAATATGGAAGAATTATTACACAGCCAGGCTATCTGTCCTCTCTGGGAGAGCCTCCAGACTAAGTGGGTTGTGTTAATTCAATGACCCAGGTTGGCTATGTGGAAGGGAAGGGAAGTAGGGAGAAATGACAGGAAAATAGGATCTACAGGGACTCTGGTCCTCAGGAATTCTCTTTAATGTGCAAGTAATAGTCATTTATTCTTACAGGTAAAAACTTGGGCACCTGGGTGTCTAAGTCAGTTGAACATCCGACTCTTGATCTCAGCTTAGGTCATGACTCTCACTCAGTTTGTGAGACCTAGCACCTCAGGCTCTGTGCTGACAGTGTGGAACCTGCCTGGGATTCTCTCCCCCTCTCTTTCTTCCCCTCTCCTCAAGCACATGCTGTCTCTAAATTAAAAAAAAAAAAAAAAAGCATTAAAAACTCAGTCATTTTATTTAATATTACATATTTTGGAAGATGCATTTTAATTAAAAAAGAAAGATCACTAGAAACACACCCTGTTAGTGTTTTTGGCTACATATTTTGAGACTTTTTTCTTTTCTTTTTTTTTTAACATTTATTTTTGAGAGAGACAGAGACAGAGTGCAAATGGGGGAGGGGAAGAGAGACAGAGACACAGAATCTGAAGCAAGTTCCAGGGTCCGAGTTGTCAGCACAGAGCCCAATGCAGGGCTTGAACTCATGAACTACAAGATTATGACTTGAGCCAAAGTCAGGCACTTAACGAACTGAGCCACCGAGGCACCCTGAGACTTTTTTCTATTAATACACATTTATTTTCTTTAATAATGATTTCATAAATCACATATTAGTTATTATTTTGTTTTGTTACCTAAGACTCTAAATATATTTCCCCAGTCTATAATAGATTCTATTATATCATTTGGATGATTGCACATAGTATTTTACCATATAAAGATGACACAATTCTTTAAACCAGTTAATGTGTTTATTTTACTCTTTTATTTCATTTTTCAGGCATAAGAGCTTTTGAGACAAGCATGTTTATAGATCTACCTTGAGCAAATGCATAATTATTTCTTAGAATAAATTTCTGTAAGTGTAAATCCTAGATCAAAGAGCATATCTTTTAAAATTGAAAAGTTTTAAGACCATATTATGGAATTTTTCTCTAGAAAATTTGTATCAATTTACATTTAATTCAGCAGCAGTTCATGAGGGGATCTGTCTTCCCACTCCTTCACTGATAATGGATATTATCATTCTTTGTAATCTTGACCAACATGAGAGCCAGTTAATAATGATCTTAATTTTTTTTTAGAAATATTTCCAATACACTTATTTCCATTTTGTGGCCAAGAATCTGTGGAAGAACGTAAAATATCATGGGCTCTTCTACCCGTTCAGCAGCCTGAGCAGAGGGAGTTGAAGACCAGTCTTTGGCAACAGGTTGAGTAGGGAACTACTCGATAGACACAAAGGGAACCTGCGCACCTTCCGATTAGTGTGAGACTTCAGGCTGAATTAGCAGTAAATTTCAGAGGAGCTGGAGCAATCCATTCATCCTGAAATTCCTTCTTGGTTACAGCCTTTTCAGTTCCCGCCTGATCTTCCTTTTCACTCTCTTCAGGATCTCTGTAAGTAGAGAGCAGGCATAACCTCCCATGGATGTTCACGGAAGAGGGTGTCACACAACTTCCTGAGCCAGCATATATCAGACCTGAAGAATGAGTTCCCATGTTGTTGCATGGGATGGCAATGTTCTCATAGTGCTGAGCAAAGTCTGTGTTACAGAGAGCGATGGCAGGCAGATTAACACAGCAGGCCCCTGTGAAAGGCTGTTGGTGAGCCCTAGGATCAGTAACCACCAGAAGTCGCAGCCCTCAAAATGCTGCCTGGATCTGGTTCGGGAAGGTTCCAGGAGTGGAGTGGCCAGCAATAGGAGTGGCTCCAGGGACACAGAGAAGACTTCGGTGCATCTCACCAGCCAGTATTCCTGGAGAATATGGCACTGATATCAGCTGAGCTTTCAATGCTACAAGCTGCCAGCAGAATCTTCTCCCAGGTTCTCCTCAGGTTTATGATATAGATGCTCTCTCTTTTCCTTTATAGGTGTACTGTTCCATTTGGAAGTCAAGTCTGGTGCTATCTTCATGGTTTCCTGCTGCGAGGGATTTAAGGACTTCCTCCTTTTTCACTTGTGAGACATCAAACTTATGAAAGTTTCCCTTGATGACAGCAACCCAGAACACCATCGGGATCCCTCTCTGGGTAGTACAGAAAGGTAATGAGCTGTATTTTATTTTATTTTATTATTTTTAATTTTTAATATTTTGTTTCATTTTATTTTTAAAATTTTTAATATTTTATTTCATTTCATTTTATGACAGAGAATGCACGCATCTGTAGGTAAGCTAGTGCGGGAAGAGGGAGAGTGAGAATCCCAAGTAGGTCCACACCCAGCAGCACAGAGCCCAATGCGGGGCTGCAAACAGGCTGCAAAGAAACTTTCTCACTTTGGGGCTTTCTTTTTAAACTTGTTTAACGGTATTTGACAAGAAGATTTTTATTTATGTATTTTATAATTTTGGGTCAAAATTTAACTGTTGAAAATAGATTTTCAGAAAAACTAACCTGGCAGGAGTAGGCAGGGCTTGTTTAGAGAGGGAAAGCTCAATTAGGATATTAGTTCATAATCAAAAAATTAAATAAGGGTCTGCAGTTAGAAACCAGTGATGGAAAGCAAGCAATAAATAAACGCCAGATGCCTCTTTAAGGGAAACATGATTAGGATTGCTTGACTGTAGGATCTGAAGAGATCACAGATAAGTGCAAAATTTGAGACTGAGAAAAATATTCCCGTGGGGGTACCCAGGTGGCTCAGTCGGTTGGGCATCTGACTTCAGCTCAGGTCATGATCTCATGGTTTGTGGGTTTGAGCCATGCATCAGTCTCTGTGCTGATGGCTCGGAGCCTGGAGCCTGCTTCTGAATCTGTGTCTCCCTCTCTCTCTGCTTCTCCCCTGCTCATGCTCTGTCTCTCTCTATATCAAAAATAAATTTAAATGTTTTTTAAATGTTCCCATGCTAGAAATATAAACATTGACATGCTGTACCTTTGAGTCTCAACGTTTGTTTTGTTTAGTTTTAAATGAATTGATTTTAAGGTAATAACAATCTACAAAATAAACACTGAAGAGTTCTTAGAATTTTTTTTCTACTACATCCTTGATGAGCGTTTTGAAATAACCACTGTTATTTTGTTCTGTTCCATTATTTAACCAGTTTCTGTGTTGTCAGCTAGTAGCTACTAGGTAAAGAGGATTTTCTCAGTCTTCCAACTTCCTCCTATGATTACTTTAATCCTCCTCTTCCATGTTGATCAGGGTCCTGGGTGAATGGTTGCAGTTAACTGCTGTGACATGAGACCCTGGTATCCAATCTACTTCTGTCTCTGCCGCTGTGTTTCAGAGTTACCCACTACTATAGCTAAACTAAAGTTTAGTATATATGTGGTCTTGGGCAATGGCAAATGGCTTGCCTCATTAGGGGCCTGGAAAGAGAAATATTAAAAGATCTTGAGGGAGGTTGAAGGAGGTCTGGGGTAGAGATGTGTTGATAGACATATGAGAATGGGCATGAACAGTGGAGAACAAAAAGTAGCACTGATGTGTTGCTATCTTTGGGTATATGAATGTGACACCATATTTATTGAAGGTTGTCATAGGAATTTCATAGAGGGATTTCTTTAACAATACCTTATCCACAATTCCAAAAATACTCCATTGTATCTTTGTGCCTCCTTTGTCATAAATCAGTTGACCATATAGGCATCGGTTTACTTAGAGGCTCTCTATTCTGCTTCAGTTTTAACTATTACTAATAAAGCCAATAAATTAAGGATCTCAAATGATACATGATTTTCCAACACTGTAAGATTTGATTGGTGAGAGGAGTACCAACAATACTAAGAATTTAGGTGATGGCTTTCTTCTGCGGACTGGGGTAGGAGAGGGTGCTATAGGCCTTAACTCACTAGTAACAATAAAAAATGAATATCCCTAAAAGAATAGAGGCCAGTAGCATTGGCTAGCCGTCAGAAGCCTGGTGCATGC